ATTAGTCATATATCTTGGCCTTGGTTAGATACAGGTGCATATGGATACTGTTTACAGAGAAGGATGTTTAAATTTATGTAGGATTTTCTGAGTGGCTAGTGATATTAAAAAAGGGGTGGTCCCCTAAAAATATGAGGCCAAAAATTGTATGAGAAAATGTAAAACATTTGCCCCAATATCATTAAATAAGTAGCAAGTTACAACAACAACAACAAGAAGAAAATAAAATTTTATTACAAAAAGTCACCAGATATAAAAAAAAAAAAAACGAAACAATAACATTAGAATTTAAGTACATAGTATATAGAGTTATAATGAAAAGAAAGAAATAAAAGAAAATATGTATAAAATCTATTATTAGAAAATAATAAAATCATAATCCGTTACAATGTAATATTTATATAGATACTTAATTATTCTATGCATGAAAAAAGTATGATTATATACTTTAGCATCAAAAGAAATTTGAGAATGGAAAATAATTTATGAATTTCATATTAGAGTAGAAAAATTAATATTTAATATTGAATGCATTCATTCATCCGTTTACTTCATCCTTCCATTCATTCATAATTTAAACACTTGAGCATTTACATATTGTCTTTCATTCAATTTGCTCATTCATATAAACCGGTGTACTCTTCATACATTTATTATATCAGCAAATTTATGAATAGCTATGCAAGTCTTTTAATACAGTTGGATCTGTATCCATTTGGCTATTTTAAAATCATATCACCAATCCACGCTTCATCTATCCTTTTTCTTTGCATAATCTCATTGTAAAATGTACACATAGAAAAGAGATGTAAAAAATGTTATGAAAAAGAATGTGACCAAAATCAGTCAACTGTCTTGCTTTTAATTCTTTAAATCCTGATAGATTGAAATCCAAGAATGCAAAGATAATGCCAGAACAAGCAAATATAATATGGGACACACATACAACAATTTAATTTTCTTTTTATTGTTCAAGCATTTCTTCAACAAAATGCCCAGTTGTGCAGTGGAATTTCCACAGAAGACACACAATGAAAATGACAGCAAATTTAAAATAAACAGAGACAGGATTCCTATAAAACGGACATGCATTGTTAACCCCACGACCTACCTCGTAATTTCTTCAAGTGGAAGGGGTAGATTTGCAACTTATCACTGACTGGATTTGTCACTGTGGTTGACTTCATCGTCACCTCCTCATCACCATTCTCCAACTAATGTGAACACGAGACTCGCATTGTACGTCGTACAATACTTACGTTGACCTATGCTAGTGGCTTTGTTTTTTTGTAATACATCCATTATAGTATGCCAGAATTAATTCTGCTTTGTGATTAATGACCGTAGGGATCATTCGCATAATATGTTCATATACTAGGATTCTTCGTTTCCGGCTTATTGAGACAATTAGAACCCATTATTATTAGGAAAGGAGAAAGAGGTTATACACCCTTCTTAACTATTTTCTCAACCTGCTACTTCTTCTGTTCAGTATCTACACGCGTGCTGGAATTTAGTTCAAATTTTTCTCACAAATCAAAGACGCAATTACATTAAATGATTAAAAATTGTTTATTAATAAATTCCTACGAGATTTACAGATGTTGCTCGTGGAAGAATTAGAGGAGAATCGTACAAGCAGCACAGCATACTACAGTATGTCTCTCTAGCTCAAACATGATAATTCATTGTAAACGATCTTGTATTTTATTTCTTCCTGTAATACTCGTTTCGATACACAACCTAATAAGATTCTCCAGTAGAGGAGACAATACAAATTAATTACAGTTTGGATTTCTAGCTATATAGAGGAACGAATCATTATTTTTCGTAAAGCAAGGCATACTATTTAAGTGACATTTCTGCATGGGTAAAAGAAGAAGTATTTCCCTGAGGTCACTGCAAATACATTGAAAGACAATTGTATATGTTTCAGTTTTTTTTTTAACGACAGGAAGCAAAAGACAATGCATACAGCAGACTAAGTACATTTCAAACGTTTATGTAATCACTATACTGTACTGTAATGTTCGGTATACTTCGATAATTTTTTACGGAATCTGCGATGAGAATCTACAATACCAGTACATTTCCTCATTTGCATGTCATTTCATTTTATCGTCTTGGGTTAACTGCCGCAATTTTATTTTATACTTATAAATTTATTAAAGTTTTTTTAATGTCTTGTCTTCACATCAAACATCCTTTTGATATAAAAATAAAATATTTTCTTGCTGGAAAATTCCAACATGATTGTATGAACGTGAATATATTAACATAAATTACTATGTTTCTTGTTTCATGTTTCTATTAGGTATGAGAGCTTGCAACTAAGGTAATCTTATCATATTAATAATTATAAATCATACTTGGATATATTTAGTCATTGTCAGCTAATTATTTATGCTTAACAATTCCAATTTAGGTTTACTGTAGAAACAAGTTCGATGAATATGCTTACCAAAAAGCTGCACCAAAATCCTAAAGCTGACTTAATAATTTGATACGTCAAAAAATTATTTCATAAAATAATATCATAAAGGGAAACAGAACGTGGTATAAAACTAATTGAAATGATTTTGACTTCATATGTAGCATCTGTAAAAGCTTAATCCCTATACATACCGAGTGAGACCACTAAAGAGACACGTTTCTGATGCATGTGGGTCCCAAGTAAACAATTAGGCCTGTCCCAAACTTTTTTGTTCCTTTTGATTCTTCGTTATTCATTAATAATATTCATTTTTTTTTATGTAAAAATATATGAAATATATACTTTGTAGATCAGATGCCATTACAAGCCATTTTACCAACATAACGACTTGTAGAATACTTCATAGCCAATAAAAAAGGGGGCCTTTTCTTTCTTTTCTTTGGACTAGTAATTGTTCACTTGGCCTAGTAAAAAACCCTTTAAGTACAAGAAATAATGATAGCTTTGTATTGAAGTCAATGTCTGCTGTCTTATTTTCACTGGCAAGATTCCAAACTTCATTTCTAAAAAAAGATCCCGAAAAGGCCACCTTGCCACTAATTTTTTTTTCTTCAAATCTTGGATTCATTCCAAATGAAAATGAGGTTGTAATGAATCAAGTCACGTGATGTTTTATACAAATCAATTAATAGAATTATTTATATAATTATTTTAATTTATTATTTTATAATTATTTAAATAATATAATCATATATAAACAACTCGGATAAAATATGCAGAAATGAAGTAAATAAAACTAGAACGAAACACGGAGGCAGTACGAACAACCACAGAGGTGCCAAATGCAGTATTTTATAATAAATCATGGCTGTGACCCCATTTGACCTTTGCAACCTAAACAGAACTCTACACATCTTCATGTAGTAGCTAGCTCTGTCTTAGGCAATCTGCCAAGTTGTAACATACAATTGCTTTCTTTGATATCAAAGTATTCACATTAATGTTTTCCTTCCAAATCAATGTCGACTTCCAGAATTCTACTTGGCTGCATTCAGATAAAAACTAATAAATTAGAATGCTTATAATACACATAGCTAGGATCTCTAAAGACTATACTTTATGTTGCGAAGTAGGACCTATAATTTCCAGATAAATCAAAGGTAGAATCTTATGCTATGCTTTTTTATAGAGCGCATTTGCCTTTCAGTTGCAAAAAATTAGTTTTATGTCTGTACATTGGGTCACATGCTTAAAATGCTGCTCCTTTATTGGTGCAGTACTGTAGCAAGCAACCTCACCAGGTACCAATATATGCTCCTGGGTCGGGAGAAGCAACACCGATACAGTGCCTTGTTTACAGTTAGCAAGTGAAATGCACAACGAAGGAGTGAAACAGAAACCAAACCGTTCATGCTGAGCCAAACCACTTCCAAAATTTATACAGTGCGGTACAGTACCGGTACATATACATTCCTTTGTTTCCATTGTTCATCCATTGTTTTATAATCCCTGCCCTTACCTTCAACATTACAAACTTGTTACGCTTTTTTTCTTTAATTGTATACTGTACTCATTTTTCAATTGTGAGGGTGGTATGATCATTCATCATACCTTATTATTTTGTGCGTTCCTACATTGAAAAATCAGCCCTTCATCAGCTAAGCACACTTGTGTGGATGAAGATCATTTATAGGCACTGTGGCAAGTATATTCAGGAGTTTACATCAATCATGTAACAATTTGTTGGCTGTAATTTCCCCACTATGCCCCATTTTCTTTACTGAGCCAGTGCTGCTGACTAAGTGGTACAAGGTAGAGAAGCCAAAAGCCCTGCTCAAGGTAGGAACTACTAACTACTGAAGCCATCTTTTTAAAATGTAAATTTTCATTGCATACTTTGAACCATCTTCTCTGCGAAGTAAGTGCTACATGAGTACACAAATCATTAGGCCTATAGAATATAATTATTATTATTATAATTAATTTTAACCATCATCAAAATCATAATAAAATTCAATAATATTATAGGCCTAATTTATAAATAATTCTGATTCATTGATAAAATTATCATGAAATGCTAATGAAATATGTCCATAAATCTAAATACTGTAATTAATAATGTGAAATCAAGCTAAAGAAAAGTTGAATAAATCATTTATATAATGATATGCAACTTAATATTAACTTGGCTACTATTCTCCTTCCTAGATCATTACAACACAAGAAACAGCGGCTTCAAAAATGCTCCTAGCAACCGCATCAAATAATTATACACAATGATAACAATAAGCAAGATGACAATACGTTGAAGACAACCATTATTGTAGCAGACAAAAAAAAAGGAAATTGTATTATCACATTCATATCCACAAAGTACTGACTGAGTTACTTAGCAACAACTTCCGTGGCTAAAGCTGTAGAAATGCGAGAAAATGGTTCTCAGGGCAAATCAACTAATCTTTTAGTTATTTGCTAAAAGGGGGTTCATGTCTACTGCCTGTAGGGTGGCAGTCAATAATTGGGTTTCACATTTGTTTTGAATAACCTGGCATAAAGTGTCGCTCACCTGTTGAACAGGTGATGGCTAGTTGTACACTTGTTTACGAACCTCAATCTTGGATTCTTCTTCATTAATCTGGAATTTAAAAATGAGAAAACGATTATTTATAATATTAATAATTAATTACTCACATATGTTATCTTGATTGAATTATCTATCATCATATAACTATAGATTTCCATTCTTGGGACCACTAGCCACCAATTGCCACCAATTTTTTCTTGAAAATGTAAAAGAAAATTACTGTTTCTCTCTTCAGTTTATATTAAAGAATTTTGAGATTAAAATTAAATTTGTTTAAAAAAATATTTAGTAAAAAATTTTGGATTATATAATTATAATAAATTTCTGTCAATAGTGGCCAAGCTGACCTTTAAGTTTTCCTGTAATGAACATGTTTTTCTTACGGCATTTTATAATAAGCAATTAAACTGGCACATACAATCCTTTATCATCATTCAACTTCCAACCATATAGCATTGTATCTATTTCTCACTTGCTTAAATATAATAGCTATTAAATTTTAACTAGATAAACAGGAAAGCATTAATTTAAAGTTGACACCTTATGAATAACCATTGTAGGCCTACACCACACTACTAAGACAAGTAGCACAAGAAATGTATGTGGATGTTATCATAACTTTCAGGGGCGGATCCAGAGATGTCCAAGGGGGGGGGGGCGATCAAGATAATAATACTCTAAATACTACTAAAATTTCTGTGTTCTAGATGCCTGAAAATAACCTCTGAGGCCTTTTGCGCGATCAATTTTTTCTTTTTAATCTTTTTCCTTTTTTTTACTTTCCAAAAGGGGGTGGAGGGGGGGGGGGCGGCCAGGTGCCCCCCCACCCCTTGGATCCGCACCTGCCTTTGTATTTGTCTTTAATAAATAGGAATAATAAATATAAGATGGCATAAAAAACAAATTTAAACTGACTTATCAATTAAAATCTACATTCATTTGTGTAAAATTTAGATACTAAATCTGGAATTGAGCTAATGAATAAATTTACTCTAATTTCCATTAAAGAATTTTAGCAAATTATGATAAATACTTAAAAAATAAATAAAATAAATATAAAAAAAATACATGGTGAATAGAACAAAAATATTTTAAAAAGGTACAGTATTCTAAAAAACAACAAATACTACTTTACTTTATTACTTAAATGACAGGCGCTGATTAGTAAACATAAAGGTTGGAATGGCTAAGAACTAAATATATAAATCTATAATAAAAAATATATATACAAACAGTACCTTTTCTGGTCACCAAAAATATGACAAATATAGTACAATTTACAGCTGTAGCTGAATTACAGATATATTTCTGTTAATTATGCTTTTATATTTCATTTTAATTCAAACAATCCTTTCTACAATAAAATCATCATGTTATGCACCTAGCCAATTAAAGAGCTAGATTTTTGGAATATAAATGGGACCACACAGAAGAAAATTGTAGAACTATCAAGTTCGAAGAGAATGAGTTTAAGGATGAAAATCTAACAGATGTCTAATTTCCTAACAAATTTTTATAATAAAGCATACTGACAGATTAATGTTTTGTTCTAATTTTTAACATTTTTGTTTGAAATTTTTCTGTATATTTACAGGTAAGCCCATTAAAATGTATTAGATTACCAGCTCCCATAATTCCCCTTCTTCAGAAACACTTTTCTGAGAATCCCATATTCTGATTACATCTTTTTTTATGTCTATTTTTGCTTTCGTTTCCTTGTCAGTGATTTTTATATTATTACATGGAATAAAGGTGTTAGCCTATATTCTTGTAATTACTGTGTAGTAAATACGGTTCAGTTTGAATATCAGTTGTGTATCTTAGATTATTGACATGGGGAGGAGGTGGTGGTGAAGGTTAAATTAGGGGGAAGGGAGAGACTTGAATGATTGAGTGAGAAGCTCACCCCTTACCTTTGTTTTTACATACCAGCGATTCCAAGCAAAATCATAGGATTTCATTTAAATGGTGATTTATCGTAATGTCGTAAGCATGAAGAACAATCTTTATTGTTTCTATGGAAAGGATACTTTACAGGAATCAGCCCAATTGCATGTTCAAAGTGTAATGGACTTTACACCTGAGAAGCTACGTTTAAGTGAAAAAAAATCAAGGGCTCATGTCTAATCCTGGGAATTTGGTACGTCCTCGGGCAAAATACTTTATAACCGTCGTCTATCTGCACGGGAGTAAGAGTATGTACCTGTTAGGTTTGAACTGTCATGTGGCGATTACTAGTTGCAACATTAAGAAAGATTCTCAAGGGAGATAAGTATGTGTTACATAGGTGCTTGATCCAATGACCGGGGTAATAATAAGCACATAGAGACCTTGGCATTCAAGACTAACATATCTGATCATTTTCCTACTGTTACTATTTAAACACAATGCTTCTTCACAATTAAAATTTGATCCTTTAATTTGTCAGACTTTCCACAAACATACCAGAACTGTATGTCTGATTGGATTATATCTGAGCCAAAAACGATGGATATTTCACGCTTTCAAGAACGTTTTATTTTCTTTATTGGCCTAAATGCTTTCTTTTTTTCTATTTAACATTCTAAATTAGTTTCAAGGATTTTTAAATGCAATTTAAAATGTTTTGGTGGTTAGAAATTTCTTTCATAATATCATCAGTACAAATTGCATTTGTAAAATAGAGTTTGTATTTGGGAGGTTTGTATGTAAATGATAGCCGTTTCTGTACTAATCTGCTTGTAGTACGCCAGACTATATACAATCCATTGATTAAGCTTTTGGCTCAGTGACAATTCTAGATACAATAGATTGAATGGGAACCAGAGATGATTGTTTAATTTGCGTTGTGTTTGGAATGTGGAAATTTCAGATTTTTTACTTTTATTTCCTCTTATTGTAACTAATATTGGAACTGCTGTAGGCTGAACAATGCATAACACAAGCTTTCCTAATGACAATGTAGTACAGTATGATGTTTCTATGTGAGTCGCACGTATAGAACATTCTGAAGAGTCAGCTTGCATGTTAATATAAAATCAGATAATGCACAGTTATTTCAGGATTATTTTCAACCAGAATAAAAGAATGTGATCAAATTATTATATTTGAAATCTTTGGCATTTTTAACAAAATCTATAGTGAAATCAATATAGTAGTACCCATGATCGCTAGATGATTTGAACCATAGACCATGGATAAACTGGTTTCAGCCAGTGCATGTGCATTAAATTGCGCAAATTTTTCTGTAGATTTGGTCCCCGATTTTTTACATCCAGTGCGCTCCTTGAAGCTGTTGTTGCCGTATACAATATGACTCAAGATGTACATTAAAGAACATAATGAACTTTCGGAAAAAAAGTCTCTTGAAGTATTGCTGAAATCACAACGATAAGGACCCTACTACAAACAAGTATTCAGACTACAGTGGGTTATCCTTGGAGCATTTCACTCCAAGGAAATCCAATCCAATCTTAATTTATATTTGCTGTAATTACATTTCTTATCTTCTTTGACATGTTTTGTATCTAAATAAATTAATATTCAAGAATAGCATTCCTATCTAGTTAAGATATGTTGAACAATTTATGCTATGATGCAATAATCTATTAATTGCACACACAGTTATTTGTTGAAAAATTGCAGTAATGCTGAGGAACAATAATTCATGATTTAGACTTTTACAATTTCTACAACTGAGCGAAAAAGTCCAACATATTTGTATCTCAGGTATTTGTCAGACAATTCATAATAATAATCCACAATGTGTATCCCTACACATATTGACATGGTTGAAGTTGTGAGGCAAAAACAAAGAGATTATAGATACTCTATGATACTTATCTCAAGTATGAAAATTAAAGTTTGAAAATCTTTGATGAGGTATCATTATCAGACTTGCAAAGTTGGTGATTGCATATTTCTTAAAAAACAAACATGTTTTCATCTGCATCTAGAAACCCCAAGAGGATAATGAGAAAATCACAATATGAATTATTCTCTGTAAGTGTCCGGCAAACACAATATTTTTTCCAAGTTTTTCCCAACAACAAGTGAATGCAATTCCACTCAATGGGTTTGCCATAATTACTCCACCAAGTTATCCTTCTTTTAACTCCATGATCTATTCGAAGATTGGCATAATAGTAGGCATCAGCAAATCAGAAAGCTTAAAACTTATGACATCACACATAGACTAGCTCAAGGCCACCTGGGTAATATGGGAATCGGTTTCTTTAGCCGACCATAGCCTAATTATCTGGAAAACTCTAACCATAACATGACAAATTATGAATTTCCTTGTTTTTTTCCTTCAAATACGTAAAGGCATGTAGTCTTATGCTGGTATCAGAAACAAAATGCTGACATAGTAAACAAATATCTACCAAAAAAGAACATTTTCAAATAAACATAGACCTTCAAAATCCATGATTCAGACATTCAGGGAAATGGAGTATAGACAAAACTGAATATCTTCATAAAATATAAAGGAATGGGGCTGTAGCTTGGTGATTGAAATTGCCTTCCAATCTAGAAGCGGTTGGCGCATCGATTGTGGCTTGAACTGCCAACCTTGGGGTCAGGGGTTCGAAACTCTTGCTGTACAAGTCACTTGTGTCCTTGGGCAAAGGTACTTTATCTACGTTTGTGTCTCTCTACCCAGGAGTGTTGTGGCATTGAATGTACTAGTTTTGTGCACTAAAGAAGTAGTGAACTACTAGGGATACTCCCCAGGGACTAGGGAATGTTGCACTTTGTGCTGGTTTGCCATTGTATGTTATCTAGTGACCAGGGGTGATAACGCTGGTGCCTTTGATCATTCAATCTGAAAAAGGTGCAATCTTACAAAATAACAGAAATGTTTTTTTTTGTGAATGAAATCAACATTATTTTTAACACTTGTTAAGACTTGTTAAAAAAAAAAACCATCATTCTATCTTTTACAGTAATTGGCAAATACTGTTAGAAACAAGAACAAAAGAAAAAAATACTTCCTATTTAGAATAAAACAAAATAAATACTGTAAAACCTGGAATTGAAGCCCTAAACTATTTTTTTTTTTTTTTGAGAACTTTTGATGGGCTTCTTTTTAAGATGGGCTTCTTTTTGACATGGGCTTCTTTTCGAGGCTACTTTTGCAAAGTAAAGAGGGGAGGGGGAGGGGGAGGGTGCTTCTTTTCAAAATGAATGTTGTAGATTCTGTGAATTTGTACTACAAAACAATAAATAAGGCCACTGTAATTTATATCATGAAGTGTATTTAAATGATATTAAATCGCCTACTACTGTATAAACCAAACTTGTTTTAAATTTATTTTGTTTTCTGAAATTCATGTACAGTGTTTGTACTGTACTATCCGAAAAAAGAAGCCTACGCTATCTTGAAAAGAAGCCCATGGGCTTCAATTCGAAATGGGCTTCATCTCGAGAATAAGCCCACTGGGCTTCAATTCAAGGTTCTACGGTATGATAACATCGCTTAATATAGTGAGCTTAAATACATGGATCTTAATGTACAGATACATATAGTATGCCATAAGTACTAAAACAAAAAACATTTGAACATTCAATATAATTGCTAAAGGGGAAAAACCCACTTACACTACAAAGCACACATGATGTTATGACGAATAGATACTTAAAAAAATACACTATTACTACTAAGCCGATATCCAAACCTACATCGAGAAGAGTTGGAAAATAAGATTTTTTTTACAAGGCATCAAACAGATATCTCATGATTGTATAGGACACTAGATGACAAACGCACCATTACATGAACCTCGGAAGGAGGAAAAAAATCCCCTAGACTCAATTCAGGCTGAGTAAACGGCAATGCGAGGTTCATTATCGTAGGTTCTACATCTAAATAGATACATTTAAATATATTTAATGTCTTCAATGGAGCTGCTTCATTTAATGATTCCATCTTTCCATCAATTTACAAAAGATGTCAAATGTTGTCCACTCTGCCTCGAGATACTAGCTTTTCGAACTACATTAAATATGATCGTTGAGGCCAGCAAATGGGATATTTTCCCCTTGCTCTTGAGTATCGGAAGCATGAATTAAATGATTAAGGAAAGAACGGATCGTGTGAGATACGTACGAAGTACTTGCCTACAGTAAAAGGTGAAAAAAAACTAGTAAAAGTGAAATCGTGTGACATACCTTTAATTTTCTAGTCAAGGGCACCAGACTGGCTAGAGTAACATCGCAATGCGTTCTCTGAAAAGAAACCCAATAGATTAGAGATGGTTCATCATGACAAGCAAATCTATCTATTTAACACCTTTTGAACAAATAAAAAAAAAACACATGCAAAAAACCGCCACATTTTGACTTTTGTACTAAAATAATCACCATACTGTTCAAATCTCACAGGGATAAACTAACAGTTAATCAACAAAATGAGTTTTTTAATCCGCAAAAAATGGTAACACAAGTCTGGGACTAATTGCATTGCGTAAGTAATAGGGTTAATAATTGATAGAGCTAATAAACGAGTGTTTTCTCAAATTCAAATTTTGACTAATTATTCTAATAATCATTTATAATCTAAATGCATTTATTATTTAAAATTCTTATTAATCAATTTATTTATATCATTAATGAATGATTATTTATATCATTATAGGATATTATGACGCTTCAATTGAGATGCACCTGTAAACATTATAAATTGGACTTTGGATGAACTATTATTAAAATAAAAAACAATAATAATAATAATAACAATAATAATAATAACAATAATAATAATAATAATACAATTATATATACCTACTAATTCATAATTATCATCTAATTTTTATCATTAGAATATTATTAATTTTAGTAAATATAAATCTAGTAGTAGATTTACAACAATAATAATTACATATTATATGCTAATTATCAAATTCTGGCAGTAGTTTTTTATGTATTTACTTTATTAACTTTATTCATGAAATATGATTATCAAATGGGAAGTATCAGTTCAGTTTTGTTTCTCCCATTGATGCCAGTCGCATCCCAGAGGCTGTATCCATATGTGTCTTATTCATCATTATTGAAGATTATTTGTATGTGCTACTATAAACATAATATTATATATAATCATTCCATTTATATGTACATTTTTACTGAATAAATTCAATCAATACATCAAACCAATCAAATTTATTGTCTTTGTAATTATATAGAAATCTTAGTGTTATTATTAAGGTCAATATAATATTATGGAACGCTCTACCATGCACATGCAAATCTCACCATGTCTTACTATGCTTTTCAAAATCATGGTATGTTACAAGTGCAATTTTAATAGGGAATCAGTATTTTCTATTATTAATATAAAAAAATTTTATCCATTAATATAATTATATAATATACAAATATTCATATTAATATCTTTAAAGTTGATAATGTGGACTGTAAAATTGTTTAAAGTATGATTATGATTTACTGAATGTATAACGTTAGTGATTTAAAGATGTACGGATATAGAAAGATGTAAAGTCTTGAAAAACTAAAAATTCAATTAGAAAGATAAAAAAAGTTTCGAACTACAAATGAGGCAGATTAATAATATTAATTTTTACAAATTCACAGACTTTTTACTACAAATTGTGTGTCAATTGGCATGGCTTATTTCCTTATGCTACCATACCTTAAAAAGCCAACAACCTACTTACAGTAAGCAAAGAAACTAAAATATTGAATATTATTGTTTAAATTTAATATTAGCTCCAAATTAACAATTTGAGTGGAGTTGAACAGCTTAGTGATTAAGATGCTTGCCTTGCAATCCCAAGGTCCTGGGTTTAATACCTGTCTGTATTGTCGGATTTTTTTCTTACGACCAAAAACAACTCCGTAAGCCTCATATTGAGATTTAGTTTGTGTAAAGCATCATGTGTGTATGTTTGTCTTGTGCAAGGACTGGGATATATTTGCTATTGGTGCATGTCTTATATGTCTAAATAAATAAATAAATAAATAAATTAAAAATATGGTGAGAGGACCTCATCTAGCTCGTTTCCTATTGGAATAAACATTCTTGATACATTTAATAAATATTTTTTATTTTATTTTATTTTATTCAATCCTCAACCAACAGAGACAGAAACCTACACACTGGTTGAAAAAAAAACAACATACATAGAGAAACAAAATATATGGTGCAAATTTGACATTAAATTAAACTGTATATAATATTAATATAGAATTATAAATATTTAATACTGAAATAAATGTTTATGATAGAAATAACATACACCAAATGGAAAAGAAATCTCCAAAAAACTACATCCTCTCAAAAACTAAATATGCAGTAGCTAGCAGTACTTTCATTTATTGGGAAATCAAACACTGACAGGAAATTCACCAATATGTAAACTCTATTTGTTACCTTGGCACAAATAGCATACAAATATTCTATCCTATCAATCATTTCTCTATTCTGGAAGTAAAAGAGAAGAGGCAGACCAGACTAAAGCAATTTTCGCCCGCCATGAAGGTCAGTTTATGTACCGTAGACCTAACCAAGCCACAAGGAAAATTACTATATCAGCGTCTATTCCAATTCCTCTATAGTTTATTTTTGTCATAAATAATTTATACTGTTTTAAATTCATTCAAATATTAAACCTATGGTTGGTCTGTTTTTGTTTTTGTTTTATAGCAAAATTGTCGTTAATTGCTTTAAATTTATTTAAAATGTTTCCAGATTTTATTGCTTATATTTATTTTATTTAGTTGTTCATTATACTACCTTGGTTTGCCTATGCAGAGGGCCCAGGGATTAATATAATCTTATGCAGAGGGCCCAGGGATTAATATAACCTTTCTTTTTTCCTTTCTTGATTTCATTCATTGATACCATTTGTTTTTGTAACGTTGAACCCTTTTTTCTGTTTTTTCTTTTTAAGTGCATATTGTAGACCTTTTTTCTGTCCTATTCTGATTTCTTTACAATTGAATGCGTCACTTTAAATCCCTTCAATTATCGTACATTTGTTTATTTTTTTCTTTCCTGCTATCGATGGTTCTTTACATCTTTTTGTTAAATGCCTTTAATGAATTGTCTTATGGGTGGTTCATATACTTTTCCATTGATATTGATTGTACAATAGTTGCGAGTATTCCCTGGGGGCAATTGTCCATCTCATTCATTTGTTGATTCAATAATAATTAATGTCATCTTCATTTAAGTTATATTAATGCATTAGGATAACTGTTTTTATTACAATAAGTAATAATGCTTGTACATATCATTGTTGTGTTTCTGAATCATCTTAGGAAGATCATCTTAACATTAACATTAAAGTTCTGCTGGCCAAGATGTGGGTGAATGGTGAGTCAACCAGGTGATCTTTCAGTCGATAATAATTAACATTTAAGCTTTGCCAAGATGTGGGTGAAATACAGGAATGCAATCAATCAGATACCTTGGGAATCGCCAGACAGTTTTGTGACCAAATTTGGATCAGACACAAAGCACTATTTTTCCAGGAAAACAACGAACAGGGGATGTTTGTTATAAGATTTATGAGTTTTTTATAAAGGGGTAAAGTGAATTAGAGCAATGGGTGTAAAGATTCAATTTCAAAATTTTAAGTTTTGGGAATTGTTGGACCTACTGTCTGTGTTCAGCCAATATCAACCTGAACAATAAAATCAAATTTTTAATTGCTTATGTATTAAGTTTATATTAACTTTCAATTGAAATTGTCCATACCAATTAACAGGTGTAAATAATACCATTTCCTATCTTTATATATATAAGACCTTAAACTGGCTGGTATGTGGTTCACTGTAAGTTGATACGTTAAAAAAAAAAACAAGAAACAAAAAACACAAGAACACATTTTGTAAGAACACCAAAGCTGAAATTGCGTAAAAAATATGAACACAATAAGAGCAAATTGAGGCTGAGGTAAAATGTCAGATGAGGTTTTCATAAAAAAAATTGAAGAAAAGAAAATTTCTATCTTCAAAAAGTGTGCAAAATAAAAACAAGATTAGAACATTTTGAGCCTGAAATTGGCAAACAACATAAGAATAATGAGCCTGGGCAAAATTTTATTGGTTCTTATAAAAAAATATGGATTTGACATTATTTTAAATGAGTAATTCAATATTTTATTACATATTAGGAGTTTTCAGGTTTACAACCAATGGTAAATCTTTGAAAACGCTCTGGTTTTGTGGATCCCACAGTATGTTTCTATTATTATAATTATCTTTGTAATTATGTTTGCGTACAAAATTGAATCAGGCTTGAATCTATCAATTATATGTGATAAACAATATATCAGATGAAATGATAAGATGTCGTGAGAGTGATGATGAGCTGCTGTAGCATGAGACCACTAACTCATTAAATGGGAACCGGAAACAGGACAACATGAGAAATAAATAATATTATTATTATTGAGGTATGTCAATATACTCAGTTGTTTGTTACTGTTTGAATCTAATAAGCAGGTTGAAGGTTTGTTGGCCACAAAAAAAACCACAACCGAAAACCTACATGCCTCGCAGAGGGTAACAATTATAGAATTGTTATAATCTCTATTTCTCCTGGCGAGATCACTAACACAATACTAATACTACAAGCAGTAATAATAATAAATATTATCTCCATTCTTCCAACATTCCAATAACGCATTGTGCATGAAATATTTCATCTCCAATTCTTCCAACATATCTGATCACTAGTAGTTCATGATAATAATGGAACGTTTCATCTTTATTTTAACATGTCTGATTATTACTACAATACGATATGTATCATCTCCATTTTTTCGACATGTCAGACTATTAGTACAATAATATGTAGCATTTCATCTTTTATTCTTCCTCCTCGGTCAATTGCTAGTAGAATAATATGGAGTGCTCCTTTAATCTCTCTTTTATCATGTTTGATCACTAGTACAATAATATGATTATTTCCATTCCTTTAGTCTGATTTTATCTTATTTTGGTCAATATCAAATCAAACTAAGAATAATACAGTTTGTGTATCATCACTATTACTCTAACTGATTGTACAACAAAATAATCAACATTTTAGTAGGTAACCATCTCCTCTCCCCAGCCCCTCTCCCCACAACAATACTGTAATTGTAAAAACCCCATCCTTCTTCCCCCTGCAAAAATATTGTAATTGTACAATAAAATGGAATGGTTTATCAAATTCTTGGAATATGTCTGACCACTAGTATCAATTATACAGTCTTCCA